GCTGCAGTCGGGAGGTAAATTGGTTGTTTAGGGGGAGTTCTGATCTTGATCGAGCGGCCGTCATGGAGCCCTGCAGGAGGTCCGACAGTCTCCAAAGTTCAAAATCAAATTATTTTCACCAAAAACACTTTTAACTGAAAAGTGTAAATAACTCATGTATTCTGCTCATGGTCCGATTCATTATTTTAACTTTAGGTTTTTAACTTCACGCTCTGACGTTCACTTTCCTCAGACTGTCCATCGCTGCAGCTCCTCTATTCAGCCTCTGTCTGAAACACACGCTTCTACCTCCTGTCTCCGTATAAACCCCGGGACCTCTTTAAGCATTTTGCAATAGGCTGGCTTTTCCATTGGAGAGTTCTTCAGAAAAAAAATGAATTATTGAAACGTTGTGATGATTGACATTGATGTTTAGGTTACAGACGTGCACTGGACTCCACAGACCCTCTGTGTTTTCTCCAGAGGAGGAGGTGCATGTGTTTCTGCAGACTTCACCTCCTCGTATAAAGTCTGTAGAAACCCAGGAGGAGTCGATGTGTGAACACAGCAGGGGATTCCCTGTGAGGGAGCGGGGGGGTTGGTGACGCTTCTAAAACGTGACAGACGCAAATAATTATAAAAAAACTATGTAGACACTGACGAAGATGTGAAGAGAGTTAATACGTCACTTCCTGCGTCCGCCTGCTGCACCCGGCTGCTCCGCCTCTCGCCTGAATGATACAGTAAAACTGTTTTTATTTGAGAGTTGAACTCACAACAGAACAAACGGTGAAACGTTTTGATTCAGCATTTCTGAACCAGACGAACATTTTGAGGAACTTTGTCTGTTTTATTGTTTAATGTTGGACACAATGAGCTGATTCTCTTTATTCTGCAGTTTCTCCATCGCTCTGGGATTCTTCTTTCTACTTCCTGTCACATGTAGACGATGCCCATTCTAATTAAACAACGATTTGCTGTGGCACCAGACTCTCGGGCATTTCCCAGAGACGTGGGATCAGTAATCTGGTAACCTGTGTTTTGAAGCTTGACTGGGACAAAATGCTTTACGCTTAGTTACTAACACAACCATGCAGATCACTGGGCTTCCCACTGAGACACATGAACTGTTGAGCTCGGGATTAAACACAGAACCCGACAATTAATGGATAACCCGTTGTTCCACCTGAACTGCAGGGAGGATAAGGATAAGTAAAGGAAAATACACGAGTATTTACTGGATGACTAAATGATATCCTGACCGGAGCCTGGTACTGGGGGCAGCTGATGGCCCTGAAGGAGCAGAACAGGAAGGAGGAGACACACAGGAAGAGGAAATGGTCCTGACCAACAAGTAGAAATGGATTTGTTCCGCTGCACAGAAAGAAAGTTGAAACCTGGAGGGTGACAAGACAACGACATAAGACAGAGAGAAAACCGAGAGCACTGATCTTTATTACAAACATGTGGACACCGGCTGAAAATTAGCATCATGAGAAAACAGGTTATAACGCAAATGCTTTTTCTACCTCGTGTTTTCCTCTTCCTCTCTTCTTTTCTTTTCTTCTTGGGACAGGAAGAGTCTGCATCACTGGATCCAGCACCAAAACATCAGCCTTGACCACACAGCAGTAAATCCTCCTCCAGCGATGCCAAACCTCCACGGTCCGCGTCCCTGCTGCAGCCACGTCTGGCGACGAGGTGGACGTGCTTGTCTGGTCGGTTCGTTCCGCAGCTCTGTGTGCGACACAATGAGAATGAAGGGAGGAAATCAGAAGAAAGAAAGAACCTTAAATTAAACGTGCTGGACTCTGGTCGGTCCTGTCGTCCTTTGCCAAAAGACAATTTGTCTCTGACCGCCACAGTTACATCACGTCTTTGTCCGAGTCCTCTTACTCCACAGAGCCTCTTGTTTAAGGGCCACCCGGCTTCTGCAGTGACCAAACACACACCTCTGCAGGGTTCTGGAAAAATATCTCCTCAGTGCAGAGACGCTATACTGAAGTTTTACAAATAGACTGTAGAAAAAGATGGATGACAGGTCGGCACTTCCTCTCCCACTTCCTCTTCCACTTCCTTAAGCCAAAACGTCCCAGATGTGGGAGCTGCCATCTTGCACTGGTGATGAGCGGATCAATGGTATCAACGTCCCACTGGTAACAACCAGCGAGTGTCTGAGCTGGGGTTGATAAATCCCGGGTTCTCCCGGTGAAACATCGCTGTGTCTAGTTACCATTAAATTAACGTTAGCACACAGGTAGTTAGCAGCTTCCACAAACTCCAGCTGACAAAGCAACAAAAGCCTAAAAGCCTAAAAGCCGAGAGCTGGGACATGGCAGCTTTGTCCTCGTCTCAGCCGTCAGTCCTGTTGTCTCACCTGTTTTTATGTCATCGAATAACTAATTAAAACCAAACTCACCAGAAACACTAAACAGCGGAACATATATCAGTGTGATCAAAAGAGAAACTTCAGTTTGATGAAGTTGATCAGAGACTGCAAAACCATCTTTCTGGAGAAGCCGGACTCCTGAGACCAAATCAGCAACAGCAGGAGCTGGAGGTGTTTGAAAACCACTGACCCAGAATCAGGAAAACTCTCAGCTTCTCAATCGCAGAGTGGAGGAATCCTGAGGTTTAGTAACCTGATCTGAGATCCGTCGTCGGACTTTCCGTCAGCTTCCATCAAGTTGTATTTGACCTGTGGAGCGTTCAGCATTTTAGCAAGCATGTTGTTAATCTGCTTAACTGAGCTTTAGAGAAAGATGCAGTATCTGTTACACACACACACTTTTATCCACTCCCACACACGAAGACACGCTTTCATTGTGTCACATCTGCACACACACACACACACACACACACACCCAGACACGCTACCATCCTGTCTGTTTTCATTTCCTCCCTCTCACCTTTCAGTCCCTGTTACACAGTCTTATCCCCATCTGTCTCCTCTCTTTGTTCCCCCGTCCAACAAACGCTCTCGGAGCATTATTCCCACACGACTCTTCCCCTTTTTAAAAATGCACATGTTGGTTATTTTCTGCAGAATCCTGATGAAACTGCAGCGTTTCTCTTTCCTGTGCAGATTTCACAGACGTGAACCCAAAACCAAAGTCTTCAGACACAGTGTTGTCTTTGTGCAGCTCACACAATTATGAAATTTATGTAATTTGAAATAACTGCCCACTCTGGTTTTGGCGTTGGCCGACGTCTCCGACATGGTTTACACCAGCTCCTCCAAGAGCAACACGCCAGTTATGCAAAGCCACCTCAAGCCTGCACCAAGTCACCCGACTGTCTGTCTCATCTGCCCTTTCCACGCCACAACCAACAAACATTTGTTTTGTCCACAGTTTGTTACGCGTCCAGTCAGCTGTCGAAGCATGCCCCAATAAGTGTTTAACGTCTGAAACACACTGAGCTGCTTGAGGACGAGGCCGCAGCGTAATAGTCTAAACAGCAGGTTTGTGGGATGCCAGCAGGGGATGGAACCGACTCGTGGCCGTGAGGTTCGGCTCCGTGGCTTCAGGTTTGGACGGGAGGAAGAAAAACCATCATGTCTTCACCACTGAGAGAAGCAAACACAGTCCTCTCTTTATTTAAGCTGTTTACTGATTGGCTGCTTTCCCCAAACCAGTGTTGTTGTTACGTAAATCCCATTTTACTTTTGCAGAATGAAACAAAGCAGTTTTTGCAAACATTTTCGGACAAGTGGACAAGTTTATGTCGGGGAATCCATCTGGACGCCTGAGCATGTGACATCTGATGAAGCCAATGAGATTCGGGTGAAAGCTCTGCATGAAGGCCGATGGGTTTATGGCAGATACAGAATCGTAGACTAGACTGAGGAGACTCGTGGTTCTGTGTGAAACCAAAAACTGCAGTTGATGTTTAATTCTTTTCAACCCACTGCTAATCATCCTCTGCTTCAGGTTATACAGTCACTGCATTTCATAACCTCAACTAGATAACCACTTTATAACCTAACGCCCTCTATTGACTTGTTAAAGAATGTGAAAAGAAATCCCTGGATCTGCCTGTTTATTGGAATCAACATTAGGAGGAAACACGTGCAGCTTTTCCAGTTTCCTCTTGTGTGTTGTTTCCCTTTCTTTGTGAATATAACACAAATACAAACTCAAGTCGACGCGAGAGCAAAATGCCTGAACTGTGGAAAGCGTGGCTGTGTTTCACGTGAGAGCATCCGGGACGGGCAGCAAATGTCCGAACACTAGACGAGACGCTGCATCTTGTAGAGTTGGAGGCGGTCGGCACCTTGTTGTGTTGCCAGTAAACCGAGGGAAGGAACACGACAAACTTAAAGAAGCACCTGACGACACACAGGACACAAATAAAAGACAACCACATACCAATCACATCAGATTTGCGTATTTTGCTGTGTTCAGCACTGAAACTGTTTTTAAATGTTGTATTTCTGTCGCTGGGTTTTATTTATCATTTTAGATGTTTTTTTATTGAATATGACTCGTCTCATAGAAGTGCATGTTTTTCTTTGCATGTAAGCAAGAGGGCTAATGAGAGTGGACACTAAATGAGCGGCTGACAGATGTGTCGTGTTTTGATATGAGCTCACTTCTGCGCCACGTCAACGGGATGAGGTCACCTCTGAAAACATTTCCCTTCCGATTAAAGTGAGGCCATTGTCATTTCCTCGACACGAGTTTGAAATAACAAAACTGACTCTGAAACTTTTGAGACTAAAACAAAACAAAATCACCTGTCGTCAGTTATTCCAGCGTGTCCACGTCTTTCCTATGGTCAGGTTTTATATGTGTGTTGCTCTCAATTAGAAATTCACAGGGGTTTTAGCTTCAGTATTATGATCCCGCAGATAATCTCTCTATCTCTCTCTCTCTCACACACACACACACAGTGAAGCCTGTTCAGTTTCTCTTTCCGTTTTAAACTAATTCTTAAATCTGTCAGTCACGCAAGCATTTGATGACCAAACTGTTTTTTCTTACGATCAATACTCTGATATTTGTTTTCATATAAATAGTTTATTAGTATCAGTAACATGTGAGGAGGATCTTTGTCCCTCCGTCATGTGATAACATACCTAAATAGAAACAGACAGCCATAGAAAATGAGAGGTTATAAAAATAAGAGGATATATTGAGTGTGTATATGCGTGTGTGTGCTTTGTAAATCTTTGAGTACAAAATCTAATCCCAGTCACTGTTTCTAGAAAGGATTCCACCCAGTTTATAATCCCAGTCACTGAGCGGTTTATACTCAAGACGCAGACAATAAGTCCTCCGGTATCCCAGAATCCACCTCTCCTCTGCTGCGTTGCTCCAGGTTTTCAGTTGCTAATCTCTTCTCCTCTCCGTCGAGGAATCAAAGCGAGGGAAACCCTCTCCGTGTTTGTGATTCGTTTCAGTTTGTTGCTCTCAGTTTCTGTTTAGTCAGGAAGAGTTGAGGTTCAGAGATTCTCCATCAAACCTCCCAAAGGATCAGAATATAATCCATCCAATCGTCCACAGTCCCCCGCCGCTGCTGCCAGGCGGTGAAGATGTTAGAGGCAAAAGGTGCTTCAGGCCGGCGTCCATTTTCTCTTCTTCACTCCTTCTTTCATCTGTCTCTCTTCACCTGATGCCTGTTGAAAGAAAGAACAGGTGAATACAAGCACAGATAAAAGTCATCTCTATTCTCTCTGCTGGGTTTCTCCTGCCAGCCCCAAGTCAAAACTCTGCAGAATGTCCGAGGGAGCTGATGTGAGAACACCGCAGGATTCACTGCGAGCTAACACGGGTGTTGATGATGTTTCTTATTGCGATCGGATGAATCTAGAGAATTAAAAAGTGGATTCAAAGGAAGTATGCGTTCAACCGAGTCTCATTTGAGTTCATACTTTTTCTCTTTGTGCACATGAGGCAAGATCATGTGGATTCGGATACTTACGATGTGAAAGTACGTGAAACTGAGACATTATTACACGACGCCATCGTGAAAAATTGCCATCACATTTGTGGGACGTGGTGAGAGGAGCTGAAGATGCAGTTCACTCAGCTGATGTCGATGTGACTTACAGGGAGTCTGGAGGAAATCACAAGATTGACCCTTCGACCTCTGGATTACAGGACGGCGTAACCGCAAACCCTCCGGTCTCATCAACAAACCGAATTTAATCTCTAAATAATGATTAATGCTATTAACGGATCACTCGTATTTCATGTCACAGATGCAAAGCTGCAAATCAATGGACATGTTTGCATCCTGAGCATCGGACCTGTGTCTTTCTTTTTTAGAGTCATGATACACAAACATTAACAAACACACACAAAACTATTTATGAATCCAACTTCACTCAGTGTGGTTTAACTACCTGTTGGAACTGGGAACATGCATTTGATCAATTCTGCAGTCGGTTGTTGGCTCTAGTCCACGAGAGAGAGTCGGGGAATGTGTGTGTGTGTGTGTGTGTGTGTGTGTGTGTGAGGGGGTGTTGCCCTGAGGGAGGACTAATTGAGGCAAAGAGGAAAAGCACAGTAAATACCTCAAATATCTTATCAGCTCTTCTGGTGTCAGTAGACACATTCAGACAGGAACAACCTTCACATGAGAAATGAGCCGACACACACACAGACACACACACACACACACACACAGACACACACACAATAACACACACACAGACACACACGCAGCTGTACACTCACCGTTGTCTGTGTCTGAGTTTGGGCTGATGTGGCGTTTGTTGGTGCACATACAATCCAGGTGATCCTCCAGCTTCACCTGCACCTCCCTCAACTTCGGCCGCTTCCGCACGTACTCCACCTTCGCTACCTGAGAGAGAGAGAGAGAGAGAGAGAGAGAGAAAGAGTCAGACGGAGGAAACCAAAAAATTGAACATGCAGCGTTTTTAAAGAAACTTCAAATGTTGAAATGCTAATTAGAAATCTGTAGCTTATAAAATCCATGAATGCACAGTGAACTAAAGATACTGAATTTAAGGTATTGATTGCAGCGTATCGGCACCTTCCCACTGAATCATTGAAGTGAACATTTAAGAACACGCTGCCTAAAGGTTTAGCGTGGTGAACCTTATAAACTGCAAACTGATTGGATTTGTATGTATGTGCCTTTGATACATGATTTGAAATTCCTGCAAATTTGATCTCTTGGCAACAGTTCACTTCAATTTAAAATTAATTTCTGAAGGTTTCAACAAAACCTTCAGAGGATGAGTTTGATGATCCAGCAGGAAATCACAGAGGAAGCTTCTAACGCGGAGCAGATTGACTGTAAACGTGTTAACTGTGCTACAGACTAGATGCTTTTCTCCGGCTTGTTATTCTGCACAATGTTTGGATGAATAAGTGGAGCATTAACGCTGCCAGCAGGTGATGCATGTTTTTTTTTTTTGCATCAAATCACGTCACACATTTGAACCTGGTTAGTGAAAAAGGAAATGGGCCGAAAAAAACCTCGTAAGCATGGACATACAAACTATAACGTACAGAAACACTAACACACACGGATAGACTTCATGTTTGATGCTCACATCACAGTCAAGGAAGTGAATGAGGGGAGATCCAAGTGTGATTGCACAACATCTCTGCTTCAAGTCTGAACAGACTCTGACACCGATGAGCAGAGACTGAAAAACAAAGCAGCCGCAGAGGTTCAGCTCAGGTGAGGAGCTGTGCTGCTGAAGCACCCATCGGTGCTTAAAGGATAAATTCTGACATAGTCTGATACTTTCAGGATCTAAAGTCACAATCCAAGTGTTTAACTGTTCCCACGGCTGCGCTCGAAGGGCGGGAGCCAAAAAGCTTCGATAGAAACAGAGCAGATACAATAATTATTCAAACAGGGACAACAGTGAGTGATGGGTCTGAAGAGAAGGAGACAGAAGTTCAAATTTAGCTTTTCTTCCAGATCTCACCTCGAGTTACAAGATTTTTTGAAGGAGACTCCACAGTTTGATATCAACAAGGTGAAGAGAGATGACGTGGACGATGGATGCATGTTGCACGATACATGTTTAGGGAAACTCGAAACCCACACGTGAGGAAGCGCCTTGCTTCAATCTGTCGTTATCCATCGTCCCAGAGCCTCAGATTCAACGCAGACTCTCACCTGCTGCACTCTCACAGCCTCTCAGTGAGGTTTACGATCGCAGTGCCAATGTTATCGTTCTCTTTGTCTCACATATGGACACACAGCAGTTAAACCTCCGCTCTGCCATATCCCCTCCGGCCGCGTGTGAGTCCATCTTGCAGCCGTGACCCTCTTGAGCGCTGGATCTCCGCACATGTGAGTGACTTTAGTTTTGATTTCCTCTGTGAGCAGACAAAGGACGAGTGCTTTCATCTGAGATTGTGTCTCATCAGGCCAAAGCACAGAGAATCAAATGCGCTCCTCTTTCTCCACTTGGACCTCTCAACCTCTGGCAACACACAAACACCTGTTCTCGTTCTCCATCTTTTATTTCCCACTCAGTCGCCCTCTCTCTTTTTTTTTTTTTTTTTTTTTTTACTTTTTTTTACATGAAGAGGTCTGTTTGTTTGTATATGGTTTGAATATCTCAAGAACCGATCAACGTCACCTTCACTCTCGACATGTGTGTTAAGGGCCCAAGGTGCAAGTGCAGTGTTGAATGCGTGGACACGTGTTAGTCCAATATTAATGAAGACACAATTTGTTCTCTGTAGCTGCGGAGACTGGGACTCATAAATGTCAGTTACATTGCCGTTGATCAACTGATTCTCAACTGACTCACACACTCACACACCTTGGGTCAGTGTCAAGTTGGCGGGGTGTGACTGTGAACCAGTTGGGTTTAGTGAGTCTTATTTCCAGCTTTGGCAGAGACCAAAAGGAAGCACACACACACACACACACACAAACTGACAATGGCTAAGCGAGCGGCAGTAATTGTTTTTGGCAAGTGTAGGTGTGTACCTCCAGTAAGTAGCTGTGTGTGTGTGTTTACTTGCAATTCTTTTGTTTTAACACAAATAACAAAAAGCGTTTTTAAAAATATCTGTAGAGCGGACACATATTTGTGTTTCCTATACCTTGACCGTGCGGTGGTGCTTGCGAGCTGCCTGACACCTCATGTTGCTGGTGTTGCAGCAGCCAGTGCAGCGTTTCACTTCCACGCAGGGCGGCCAGATGATGAAGTTGGCCGAGGTGGGGTCCACCTGGCTCCGGGGGATCTCATAGATCGTCGTCCGCACTTTGCACCCCGCAGGCAAAGCCTCTTCCACCACTGCACGGGAACAAAGCGGTCAAAGGTTAAAGAAACGTGGCGGGGAAGAAATTTGGGTATCACATTTTAATCCTCATCTTTTCACCAAGAAAGTTGTGTCTTTGACATTTATTTCCCAGGAAATATTTCATGGATCTTGATGAAAACAAACTTTGGCACATTTAAGGACTGTTGGGCCTTGGCGTCCGTCATCGTGATCATTTTGACAGATAGATAATCAGACACAAATATATGTTATATGTTAGTGGCTATTGAGTTCATTTATCCACTGTGTGCCAGCTTCTGAGACTTGTTTTGTGCACGTGCGTCATTGTGTGTGTTACCAGTGCTCCGCCTGTGTCTGGTGTGCGTGTGAGCTCTCTTCAGGTCGAGGAAGCTGTGGGAGAAGTCCTTGTGGTAGATGTGTTTGGTCTCAGCGATCACCTCGTTCTCTGGACAAAGACAAAACAACACACACAATTAGAGGTCACACACACACACACACACACACACTCTCACGGTTCACCACACCATTCAGAAATATTCCCAGATCCTTCAGTCAAACACACTGACACACTCTGAGGCCATGGAGAAAAAAACCCACTATATCTTCATTAGACTGACAAAATATCTTGATGACTAATCCACCGAACAACAACAAAGAAGTGAAAAGAGAAAAACGTTCACATGCTGCAGTAAGTTGTTTGTGACAGACGTCTTTCAAGTCTCTCCTCATCAGACTACCGGACTAACCTGGTTACTGTAACTGAGTTACAGTGCTTCTATGTGTTAGTGTGCGTATCAGATACAATTTAAATCTAATACACATAAAGAAAGGAATACGTGCACAGACTGCAGCGGGAGTTCATCCCGAGGTCCGCGGAAGAAAATGTTGTTTTCTTCGTGCAGAAGTTAAATTTCTTTAGAAACTGATTCCAGTGACTTCAGATTACGGGCCGACCTTCTGTCTGAGCTTCTTTGTTTGGAGAATCAGACAGAGCTTTATTGTGAGTTTACCTATCATTGGATTCTGTCTGTTGAGATTTTCACATGTGAACGTTTGATTCTACATCACAGATATCTACACTACCAGACAGAAATGTTAGTCTAAGTTCTGATTCATTGGTCGCGTTGCGTGACCCGATCGTTTAACCAAGGCTCAGAAGTCGTACTCTGGGAATACCAGCAAGCTCAGCCTGAAGAGAATATTCTATTGTTATATGTAATAACTTTTATATGCACAGGGGCAATTTGTCTTTTATCCAAGTGAAGTGTTGAATACACAGACTTGAACACAATACCAAAAACATAGAAGATCCATGCAAACATTTATTGTCTTCAAGTGATCCGAGGTCACGTCACTGTTGCACCCAGCTAAGGATGTTCCAGACATCCCTCTCTCCATCTCCTCTGGGGGGTCCCAGAGGCCTGATGGGATATATTATCCCTCCCGTGAGTTGTGAGTCTCCTCCCAGTTGGAAATACCTTAAAACCTCCCAACTATCCCAATTCAACTCAACTGGCCCCTTTCAACATTATTAGCAGCATTTCTCCGCTGAGCTCCCACTGGATGTCCAAACTCCTGACCCTGTCTCTAAGGCTGAGCACGCCCCCCCGGCCCCATAGAGAAAGACAGTTTTCTTCATGAACTTGTTCTTTTAGTCACGACCCCGCAGCTCATGACCACAAGTGAGGGTCAGAATGTAGATCTGTTGAAAATGGCCATGTACAACACTTACATTACTGTTAACACTCTGTGTGTGTGTGTGTGTGTGTGTGTGTGTGTGTGTGTGTGTGTGTAGGACTGCAGGGAAAAATCAACAACCAGTAAATGAGGTAATGGCAGGACTCTTTTAATTTGATTTGGACACCACACCACCCTCTTATTGTTTAGATGTGTGTGTGTGTGTGTGTGTGTGTGTGTGTGTGTGTGTGTGTGTGTGTGTGTGTGTGTGTGCACGCCCATCTCTCTTACTGCCATGTGTGTGAAAGCACTCACACACGCACACGCCTGCCTGTGTACACACAATGTGCTTCGGAAACACAACAAAGTTCCACCTCCAACATCTCCCCTCTCTCTCTTTCAGTGTGTGTGTGAGTCTCGCTCGCCCTGCCACGCAGGAATTTGAGCATGAATTATACATAGCGACACAGCAGCCTTCCAGCGAGCCCTGCTCTCAAACCAATAATGGGCAGCATGACAACAGCATAATGAAGTGAGCCACTTGACCCCCACCGAGCCAGGGAGCCGTCACACTCGACATTTGCATCTCAATGATGCCAGGATTAATGGTGGCACCGCTCTGAGCAGCAGACGTTAAAAAAAAATGAATCAAATGTTTTTCACATGCAACGAGAAGTTCAGAGCAGAGGAGAAGTTTCCTTGGCAGAAATGTTGAGTCTGACTCCAGGCATAAATGCAATTAATCCTGTTTTATGCAGCAGTTATTTGCTCCTGTCTCACCTCACTGATTCAATCTGCTCTGATTTATTACCTGGATAATGAGAACTGGCATCTGCTGTGTTTACGGAAGGAAAACGCTGGTGTTGTTTAGACTTGTAGCCAATTTACTTTTGTGTAATGTTTATTTCCATCTCTCTTTGGGTGTTTCTAAAAGTGTGTTTGTTGTTTTTTAACAAATCTCAGTTGTAGCTTGAGATGCCATGACAGAGATGTCACCGATTAGTTTCTGAGAGGAAATAAATGTTTTTAAAGGAAACATGTTCTGGTGAAGAGACTTGATTTCCTGATGTAAATAAATAAATTCAATCTTTTACTTAGTCAAAAATACAGTTTTGTTTAAACTTCCTCTGCCAATTCTTCCAAATGTTTCACATAGAAGTGTTAATCGACTCTGACATCACAAATTTGTTTGTGAGTCCAGCCCTGTACTGGTTTATTGAAACCAGAAGTAACCATATTTGGAGGAACGGGGTGGAGACTGACTGAGATCTCAGGATTCCAGCCGAGACCTGTATATGAAGTTTGGAATAAAACAGACACTTCTGCATTGGCTTCACTTTATGATTCAGACATACACAGGAGGTTTAGACACAGAGGAACAACCAAGGCCATCAAACCAAACTAAATATGTTTTATTGCACTACCATAAACTTGGAGGACTTGTGAGAACCAGTTTTAAAGAAAGAATCATCTGAATCAATGTTGGAGAAGTAAAAAAAACAACTTTTACTCCTATAGGAAAAGCCCACAGCACTACAATTCCCAAAATGCAACTGCCTCTTAATGAGACCCTCCGAGTGCTAACAGGTTTAAAACCACCTGCAGTTTCTAATGTAGACATCCTGGCAAAAACAAGACTCTGGATGCCTATACAAACCTCAAGATGTTAATATTATAACTTCATAAAGCTACTCCTGAACTTCATACAACTGTTTTGACAGGCTGAGTGGAACCTTAGAAATAACATCTGATCCAACACCTTATTCTTAGATTACGATTAGCAGTGTCTGATACCTCAGAGTTCATGGAGGGTGTAAAGAGCAGAGACGGGCTGCTGGTCTCCTGGCAACATCCACTGAGGCATTCCAGTAATGAGATGAGCGGACAGCATCCTCTCACTGTGCACTGAACCAGATGCAACTAATACCTCGATTCAGTCTGTCAAGGAGCAGACGGGGAGGGAGGCTGCAGGAGCTCTGACCAACACACGAGTCTGAAGTAACTTTGCCTCGACCTGCACTACTTGTACTTCTTCCAGGCAGCTGCTGATGACGTGCAAAGATGATTTTCATGCAACTTCTGGTTCAAATTTGAGGTTTGAGTTTGCACACAATTTTTATCAATAAGCTTTACTTTGAAAAAACAGCTGAGCATGTGTATGTTCATTGTGCTGCTCGTGGATTACCATAAACATTAAGAGCCTATGAACTGATTGTTCTTCAGCCCCATTGCTCGGTATAGGCTCAGTAATCCAGCCCTGGTCAGTTGTATTAGAATGAAGCGATTTACCTACGGAGTCTAACTCTAGCAGCCGCTGGAGGTCGCTGATGCTGCGGATGTCGCTGCGGGAGAGCCGCTCCAACAGCTCCCGGGGGAGAGGAGACTCCTGTGGGGAGAAAGTGCATGTATTTTAATGGGGTGTGGATCATCGAAGGTGCGTTAAAAGGTCATAGACACATGCAGCCATCACTAATTTACAACCTCAGTCACAGCCCCTTCGTTTCAGCTGATGCCTAACTGCGCCAATGGAAGAGGAAACGTGCGTAATTACGCAGACGTGACTTGTATGTGTTGCATGTGCCGCCTTCAGTGTTTTGTTTCTATTCTACTTTCAACAAATGGGATAAAAATCAGACTGAAATCAGCAGCAAATGTAAACCACCAAAAAAGTCTTTTCACTTGCTCTTACCTCAGCTGCGGCGCGTAACAGGCAGAGGCAGCCGGCGAGGAGGTGGAAAATCTCGGCTCTCATCTCCTCTCAGATCCGCTGCATAGGCACCAGGACGAGGCGGTGGTCCACTGCAGGAGCCGGGCTGTCGCTCCCTGGCCTCTGGAGCCCACAATCATCCCTCGGGAGAACAGGCCACCACCACAGTCTCAGTAAAAGAGCGAACCAGGAACTTATTAGACTTGAATGATCTTTAAACTCCTGAGTGAAGATGAGGCAGATACAAGAAGACTCTGCTCCGGCAGCCACCGTAAAGATGGAGGTTTGTTATCAAAGGAAAATCAAAGGAAACAAGTCGTCTGGAACATGAAGCTCATGAAACCATCAAGTCTAACTGAGGTCAAGTTGATGTCCAGCTTCTCTTGGGTTTGGCCTCTAAAGAACAGGTGTCCGGTGGAAGCACGAAAACTTTTCTTCTACATTCACACATCCAGCAGTATCCATCATTGTCTCCTTAGTGCAGCTCGCGTAAAATCACACCTCTGTGCGTCCTGCAGCTCAGCATCTTCGAAATGTATCATCAGAATTTATAAAATCCTAAAGGAGACATTCCCAGTTTTGTGCAGTTCCAGGTGGAGGAAGCACGAAGGAACCGAGAAAAGATTTGCTCCCGAAAAAAAGCCCGGAGGAGTTTGATGTCTGCTCCCTGTGGTCGTGTGATCGGAATGAATAAAGTCAGGACACTCCAGTCACAGGATATAGCCGTGCGCGTCACCGTGGCAGCGTAGTGAACGCGCTTAGCAGAATATACAACACACTAACACAAGAGACACACACACACACAC